CCCACCTCTGTTTCTCTCTCCCTCTCCCTCCCCCTCTCTCTCTCTCTCTCTCTCTCTCTCTCTCTCTCTCTCTCTCTCTCTCATAAATGGAAAACATATCCTCAGGTGAGGATTAAGAAATAAAAGTAAAAACTGTAAAATAAGATCCATGGAATTACAAAGGAAAACGATGTCAATATACAGTTATCAAAATGTTTTTACATTCAAATGTAAGGTTTCGGAATGCAGGGACTTCTTTACCTGCCCGTTAAATAGGAAGGCTTGGGCACCTGTAGACGTGCTGACGCGCGTAGCCCGTGGTTGGGCAGTAACTCTAAGGTGATGTGAAGACAGTCACAGGTGCTGCTGGGCCACCATTGTCCATGTGAGCAATGTTCAAACCTGTTGAGAATTTGTGTGAGTTTATCAGAACCAAACAGATGACATCTGCTGGGAAGCAGAATCTCAACGAATTGAGAAAATGCCCCGGAAAATGGCACTTCTGCACCCTGCTTTATACATTATGATCAAAAGAGAAGCCGTAAGTGGGCGACATGAAATCCACTGGTGCTAGGTGAGGGGGCGGGGAAAGCGAATGGGGGACACCTCTGGGATTGGATAGGGAGGGAAATGACAGACACATGCTGCTCTCACACAGGTGGTGCAGACAGTTAGCAGTCATCGGTGAGCACAGAACGATGGCAGTGTGGCGTCCGCTCTGGTGCGGTGGCTGTGCTGTGAGGGGTCCGAAGGAAGCAGGGACATTGCTTTGTGACTGTGAAGGACGTTTATCGGCTGTGTTATCCTAGATGCAAAAGGACAATAGACGGCTCAGTTAAGGTGCAGATGGACTTAGTCAGGGGAGAGACTGACTAGGATATGACCACCCACCATGAGCTCCTCAGGTCAGCACGCGGCCCCGTTTTGTCGCCACCATGGCTGCTTCCTGTGTCCGCTGGAAGGAAATGCACCGCTCAGATAGAGGCAGCCACGGTGCAGCGGTGGCCGATTCCCACCTCAGGCCCCTCCCTGGCCCTGGGAGCCCGGAGCCCTGGGGGGCAGTTGTCCCTCAGAGCGCTCAGCCCTGTTCTCTGTCCTCCCCCACCCAGCTCCCCTCCCGCCAGCTCCAGCCACAGAGTCCCCCCAAGAGCCGCGCCTGGGGGAGCTGACGGTGACAGATGTGACCCCGAGCTCCGTGGGCCTCTCGTGGACGGTTCCTGTGGGTGAATTCGACTCCTTCGTGGTCCAGTACAAGGACAGGGACGGGCAGCCCCGGGTGGTGCCTGTGGCCGCAGACCAGCGCGCGGTCACTGTCCCCGGCCTGGAGCCCAACAGGAAGTACAGGTTCCTGCTCTTTGGGATCCAGGAAGGGAAACGACGCAGCCCCGTTTCTGTGGAGGCAAAGACAGGTGAGAGGGACCCCCTGAAACTAGCCGAGGCCCCTCTTCACCCGCCTGGTCTCCTGTCCTGCCGCCAGGCCCCCCTTTGTGCTCCTGTTTCACTGGACAAGCCCCCCACCCGCCCAGGCCCCTGAAGGCCGGGCCGGACTTCCCTGTCTTCTCACAACCCTACGCCTGTGAAGGGGAGGCCCTAACCCCCTCCAGGACGTGGGGCCTGGGACCGGTGCTGGGAGGGGAGAAAGGAGCAGAGCCCCGCCTCCCTGCCCGGGGGCCTCAGCCCGGGGGTCTGGCCATCTCCCCTCCGACTCTCACCCGAGTTCTCGCCCTGTTGGCTCAGGCCCATGGGTCCCATATCTGCCCCCAGGACCTCTGTCCTCCCCTGGCCTCCTCTCGGAGCCTGGAGACGGGACCCCAGGAGCCCAGGGCTGGCGGCCTGGCTGCCCCTTTCCTGGGTTCGGTCTGGGCCCCCCTTGCCCCAGGGGCTCTCTGTTGCCAGAAAACTCCAGTAGCAACAACGTGGTCAGCGTCCTTGCCATCTGGGAGGCAGCACGCCAGCTCCTCCCAGGCCTCAGGGTGGCTTCCTGCTGCCACACAGATCGGTCCCCTGTCTGAGCTCCCCGTCTTCTCCCCGACCCTCACTCAGGGCAGCCCCTCCACCAAGGCCTGTGAGGGTCACCTCCATCCTCACATTGTGCACCCCCCCCCCCCCCCCCGGGCCCTTCAGCCCTGTTCTCTGTCCTCCCCCACCCAGCTCCCCTCCCGCCAGCTCCAGCCACAGAGTCCCCCCAAGAGCCGCGCCTGGGGGAGCTGACGGTGACAGATGTGACCCCGAGCTCCGTGGGCCTCTCGTGGACGGTTCCTGTGGGTGAATTCGACTCCTTCGTGGTCCAGTACAAGGACAGGGACGGGCAGCCCCGGGTGGTGCCTGTGGCCGCAGACCAGCGCGCGGTCACTGTCCCCGGCCTGGAGCCCAACAGGAAGTACAGGTTCCTGCTCTTTGGGATCCAGGAAGGGAAACGACGCAGCCCCGTTTCTGTGGAGGCAAAGACAGGTGAGAGGGACCCCCTGAAACTAGCCGAGGCCCCTCTTCACCCGCCTGGTCTCCTGTCCTGCCGCCAGGCCCCCCTTTGTGTTCCTGTTTCACTGGACAAGCCCCCCACCCGCCCAGGCCCCTGAAGGCCGGGCCGGACTTCCCCGTCTTCTCACAACCCTACGCCTGTGAAGGGGAGGCCCTAACCCCCCTCCAGACGTGGGGCCTGGGACCGGTGCTGGGAGGGGAGAAAGGAGCAGAGCCCGCCTCCCTGCCCGGGGGCCTCAGCCCGGGGGTCTGGCCATCTCCCCTCCGACTCTCACCCGAGTTCTCGCCCTGTTGGCTCAGGCCCATGGGTCCCATATCTGCCCCCAGGACCTCTGTCCTCCCCTGGCCTCCTCTCGGAGCCTGGAGACGGGACCCCAGGAGCCCAGGGCTGGCGGCCTGGCTGCCCCTTTCCTGGGTTCGGTCTGGGCCCCCCTTGCCCCAGGGGCTCTCTGTTGCCAGAAAACTCCAGTAGCAACAACGTGGTCAGCGTCCTTGCCATCTGGGAGGCAGCACGCCAGCTCCTCCCAGGCCTCAGGGTGGCTTCCTGCTGCCACACAGATCGGTCCCCTGTCTGAGCTCCCCGTCTTCTCCCCGACCCTCACTCAGGGCAGCCCCTCCACCAAGGCCTGTGAGGGTCACCTCCATCCTCACATTGTGCACCCCCCCCCCCCCCCCCGAGGTGAGGGAACTGCTCATCTGGGCAGTTCTGGGTTTGCACTCCATGAGAGGCCTGAAGGAGTCACTCTGGAACATAAACGCAGAACCGTCGTCTCTGCCAGCTGCCCACAGTGATGCCAGCCCGCAGGCCCCGCCCCGCCTCGGGGAGCTGTGGGTGACGGAGCCCACCCCGGACTCCCTGCGCCTCTCCTGGACGGTCCCCGAGGGCCACTTCGACTCCTTCGTGGTCCAGTTCAAGGACAGGGACGGGCCCCGGATGGTGCCTGTGGGGGGCCACGAGCGCTCGGTCACCATCACCCCCCTGGACAGCGGCCGCACATACAGATTTCTCCTCTACGGCCTCCTGGGCAAGAGACGCCACGGCCCCCTCAGCGCGGACGGC